TTTCAATTTCTTTGTCGGGTTTACTATATCGACTCTGGTTGAGATTGCATTCCGATTAAGAATACAGTTTTTTTTTGCCGAGTACCTTTCAAATCATTGGAATTAACTAAATGAATTAAGTAAACAAGTATTAACCTACTTTTTCATTTTAAAATCGCTCAAATTTGTAAATTTTTAAATTGAACGACCTGGTTTATTCAAATTATCGTCGAAAAAAAATTCAACCATGTGCCACAATCATATGTTTTTCCTAATTGCAAATTCTTGCTGGCAAAATTTTGTCCGGCTCGAATTTCTAACTTCTCTCCAAGAAATAGTATTTTTACTCGTGATTTATTTAAATAAAACATGTGAAATTTAGTTGAAACATTTTAGCCGTTTTTAGCCGGTTTTATTTGCCAATTTAGCCGGTTCGTCCAAAAAGTTCTGGCAACACTGATACTTACATGCATATGCCTCAGCGTTGCCACTAACACTTTTTTCCCCCTACCAATTCTCTTCCCAAATCTGGCCAAAATTGTTTACAACCTACCAAATAAATTTCAATTACAAAAAAGCATTCTAAAAGCATACAATTCATTTATTTAAGATTAATGACCCAATTCTGTAACGGTGAGAAAAATTTTTTTACTGACAAATTTAAACATTTTTATATATTTTTCTGTAATAAAAACTGTGACAAGAATTTGTCACTGATACAGAATAGAGCCGCAAATGTTGCGAATACAAAACATTTAAATACATACATATATGTATATACATAAATGCAGATACAGTCTTAGGCTCAGAGATGAGATCAAGTCTACTGAGAAAATCGTCAAAATCTATGCTGTATAAGCTTTAGCTCTCATACCTCTGATTGTTCAGATACCAGTTATTACAGTTATGTCTCCTTTATGTAGGAGACCAAACCCATTAAATTGTGTTTCCGGTTTACATACCGATCACACAGCAGTCAAAATCACTTAGATTGGTGCTATATAAGGTATATTTTCCATACCTCTAATTGTTTAGATATGGTTTTTCATATATGTATGTATCTCCTCTATCTATGTATTCTGTAACTGTATAAATTTTTTCAAATGCAGTTATCTGTTAAAGTAAAATTTTCAGCGTGCTCTTACATGTTTTTATTTTTTAAGGCAGGATTGGCAAATGTTTATATGCAAAATGATGTTTGAAATAAATATTTCTGTATTTAAGAATTTAAAAGCTTAATTCAACTATCCGACCAAAATTTTATATTGCCGACCAACCTACCAAATTAAAAAGAAGCCACCGAATTTGGTCGAAAAAGACCAAAACGGTAACACTGATATGCCTATATGCATATTTATATTTGTGCTTATGTATATATGTAGAAATACATATGTATACAATCTCATGCAAGCTCACGTACAGCATATAGTTACATACATATGTATGTATATGCATATATGCCGATGGAATTTTCATGTGCATGCCTACACAATTAATAGTGAATTTCCCACGCTCGCTGGTTATGTGACATCCGACAAACTGGGCAAATTGGTACAGATTTCATCGCTGAACCGCCGCACAGTGTGAGATTTAGTCAATCTAGGATGCCAAAATTAAAAAAAAAATGTGCTTGAAAATCGATCATATTTTGTTAATTTGTTAAAAAAGACCCCAATTGTTACGAAAACTGAGAATAAAAGAAATGTCATTGGTATGATAACAGCTATCAAACGCTTGCTATTGAACAGGTTGTGAGCGTTTTTTTGCGAAAAAGTTTTTTTGTATTAAAGGTCAATACTTTCATTAAAATTTTTTGCTATACACGACCCTTATATTTTCACCTAAGAATTTTAATCTAATTATTTTATAATCAGCTTAAAGGCAAGACAAATTTGAAAAATCTTAAATCTTTCATAGACTATACCGTAGTTCGGCTACACTGAGCGAAAAATCAACCAAAAACTGATTCAAACTTGAAAAGGAATCAATGTGATTTTTGCTTAATATTAAAAATGCCTTGGATGATGTTTTCAGCAATGATTTCGTAATATTAACCACATTTTTGTTTACATTAACCAAACTTTTGGTTATAGGTATTTCGTTTGAATACGTTTTCGGTCCTGCACTTCACAGATGCTTTATCGTAGTTCGGAGATATAAAACACAATTTTTTATTCTCACTTTAGCACGTTGTCTCTGACGGAAAGAAGCGATTCTTCAGCAAGCATCTCTGCACACTCAGCCAAAGCTGCTTTATTGATGTGTCTGCAAATTTTCAACTTGAATAAATTTTCTATGTCATTTGATTTGCTTCTGCACTTCACAGAGGCTTTCTCGTAATTAAGAAAAACCAAAAACAGCCAAAGGAAGCCAACAAATAACCGCAAGCACCTCTGCACGTTCGGCCACTACCATACATACGAATTTGTTCTCAAATGTTCAACTTGAATCATATTTCTTACAATCGGCTTATTGACCATGAAACTTGGTTGTAAAAACCATTGTGCTTTTGGCTCAGTGTATGACAAAGCATACAGAATGAGCGTACATACTCATAGAACAGAATTAAAAAATACAATTTTGCCCATTTTTCCCCAAAGGCATCTTTTTTCAACTTAAATGGTATATTGCACGAGGAGCTTTAAGAAATTTGCTTGAGTGAGGGTGTCCCAGTGATAAGTAGTTTTCTTTTAGGTAATAGGGGAAGTCTAGCCGAACAGAAAATTTTATGGGAGGTGGATCTAAAATGCAACCCTGGGGAGTTATAGGGTTACGAAAGTGATCGGCAGTAGTTCCAGTAAAAAAATTCTCACGCCTAAACGAAAAGCCCTAATGAAAAACTCCCTATAGAGCTTTTTTAGTTAATTGTGTTAGATTTATAGAAAAAAATATTTTAGGGTGGTTTTTAGGCTTTAGGGAAAACTGGGTATTATAAAGTCAAAATTTCAAGAATTTTTGACCCTTCTTTTTCTTTGGCGTCCATTTCGGTATAAAAAAGGCCTTATTGACCTATTTATTTTTTAATTTTTTTTTTTTAATTTAATTTTTTGGTCATGAAATTTACTTAAAATTTGCCCAACATATGTCATACAAATTTTTCGGTTTTACTCCGGAAAAAATATACTCCAGCCAGTCTTTTTAGGGATAGTTCGGCCATTTTAGTATAAAAACTTTTATTTTTTATTTTTATTTTCAAATCGTCATAAAATTTTCTCCAAATTTGCTCAACATATGTAATACAAATTTTTTGGTTTTACTCCGTAAAAAATTGTCTTCAACTGGTCTCTTTAGGGATAGTTCGGAACTAGCCCCTTTTGACAATAGTTGGAACCAGTTAATCATAACCATATTGAAGCTTATGTTCTTTTTAAAAATCCTGCCAAATTTGAAGTTGATTCTCTAACTCTTTAGCTAAAATTGAATTTTGACCTCCTAGATTGGCAAAATCTCACACTGTGCGCTGTTTGCCTGGTAGTCGTATCGTCAGCTGGGTATTGTGACAAAGCGAAAAAACGTGGTGACAGACTTACTTGCGGCATATGGTTGTCCTTCCTACTGCTGTGGATAGTAAAAGTAGTACTCTGGCTCGACTTTTCCACCTTTCCTTTACGTATAATCGATGCGCACGGAAAAGTGGCAATTTTGTAATCTAGCATCAACTGCGATGAAGCGTCACAAGCTCGTTGTAGCGGCCATTCCTATCGCTTGCCTATGTATGTACATATTTATATGTACTTACATATATCTACACAGGTTTACATACATACATATGTATGTATAAATATACAAGAAGTGCGCTACAGTAGTGTCGCTGAGGTATGTAGGTGTTCCAAATCTGTGCTGTTAAATATGTGGCGACGATACCTATGAGTATGGCATAAATGAAAATATTGACACATTTTTAAATTTATGATGTCACTTGCGCATTCCCTTGCCTTTATCATCATATGTATACATACATAGGTGATTTTCGTAATACATATGGCAGCGTGTAGCTAGTATGCAAGCACCACATTCAGGTGTACAAAAGTGCACTTACATGGATGACTTAAGTGTAATATTATGTAAATTAGTTAGGTCATCAATTACACAAACGTTTCTTATTTGTATCTAATCTAAATAGAAAAAGGGGATGTTGATTCTTCCGCTTTTTTCGATCCCGGGATTTTCGAGATGTGGTTGTTGTTATTATTATTATGGTAATTATTAGTCACAATCATAATTAAGTGCGTCTAGGATTACGATTACTTTAATCCCAGATTCGAGATATCTAGTTTGAATTAGGATTGAAATAATCGTTTTAGATTAAAATTATAGTAAGAAAAATGGGTATCAGATGATGTAACTTTTAGCTAAAAAAAAGTAAAATTTAGATAGCTAGGACTTACCATTGATTTTTAGCACTTTTTTTGTTGAAGGTGTCGCTCATTTTCTCCAAATAAAATAATGTTTGATAATTTTTTTATATGGAAAAAATGTGCGACACCTTCAACAAAAAAATTTTCCAAAAATCCTAGCTTCCTTATACTTGCTTTTTATTATACTAAAATTGAATGGACTAAAAAACTGCGTACCCAACTTTTTTCTAGAGAGCGTAAATAAAAAGTGCAATATGTGAATGAAATTTTGAAGAATTTTCTTTAATTTTGCACAAGGTTTGAAACTTTGGTTTATGAAGCTTTTGTTGTAGAAATAACCATATTTTTATAAAAAATTAGCGAAAAATAAAATATTTAAAAAATAGTTGCCCGTATTGTAAAAAATTCGCTGTACCTAAACTTTATTATTGCCTGACTGTATGTGCATATATTTTACTCTTGGTGACGTGCAATAATGTCAATGGAATTAATGTCCTTGACATTAATACATAATTTAAGAGTGATTTCTTGCCTTGTTTCTAATGGGTTGGTGAGGTGTTCTATTTCTTAATTAAACTATTTTTGGAAAATATGCATATTATTAACAAAGTTTTTTTTTTTGCTTTCTTTATTTACAGGTCGTGCTTGTATTTATACTCAGCATTGCATCACTCATTATTTACTTCGTGGATGCATCTAGCGAAGAAGTCGAAAGATGTCAAAAATGGAGTAATAACATTACTCAACAAATCGATCTCGCATTCAATATATTTTTTATGGTTTACTTTTTTATACGAGTAAGTTGATTTTTCGGTTTTTATTTATGTATGAGTGATTTTCGTTTGCCTGAATCCCAACTTTATTGCATAGACTTCTCTTAAATACTTGATTTATAGTACATAAAAATATCGAGGGCATATATTCAATACCCTCAATCTGCAATTTTCACAAAAATTACTTAGTGCGATGTTAAAACCCATTTGGGACTTACCTCTCATCACTGATGTTAATTCTGACTTTGCAATTTATTGGTAAATTCGCCTGTCAGGCGCTTTACAAGTTCAGCATTTAATATCACCGATGACAGTTAAGTTTTAGGTCAATTTTTTTATCAGAATCTCATTTTTTTGGAAAGTGCAGACAGAGGGTATTGAATATAAGCCCTCTATATGAAAATAATAAGTTAATTGTTGAGCTGTTGTGTTTAAACTGGTACAAAATATTTAGACAGATTAAGTTCTAGCTGAAACAAAATGCAAAAGTCTCTGCAACAAGGTAACAAGAAACCAGCTTTTTGTTGGTGGAATCGCCCAACTGTTCAAGCGGTGAGATACGACGCTATTACTAATGGTAGGGTGACTGACTTTTTTTTTACCGATTTCAACAGGTTTTTATTTAAAATTTACGGTGGGTTTTTGAAATCGAGTAAACTGGATTTTTTCCCAGCTAGGTAATTTATATACCAGAGTATAAATGTTCCAAATATTTATTTTTTTTTTTTTAAGAGAAACTAGGACATTTTTATTAACTTTCTATCGGTACCTGAGTGAATGATCGACCTATCCTGGCAGCCCATTTCGAAAACACCCTATCTGATAAAACTTTTCAAGAGCACCAAATTCTGAAATAGGGTGGTTTTCAATGAAATTTTGAAATAAGGCATTCTTCAATCAAATTCTGAAGTAGGGCGTTCTTGAAAAGTTTTCTTGGGTAAGGCGTTTTCGAACTGGTTGCCGAGGTTAGACCATCTTCCGCCCAGGTGTCGATATCTGAATACCCGAAAATTTTCCACTGCAAGAAATTACTTCAAAAATAAAAGGAAAATCGAACGATGGTCGTTCTCAATCCAACGGAACGGTCGGGAAAATGCCAAATCCGAAGTATCAGGACCGTAAGTAGATGGATGTTAGATGAGCCGATTTGAGCGGGTATTTGAAGAGATGGTTATTGTGATCGGGTGGTTTGTGGCCAAATAAACCAATTAAAAGAGAGTTCATTAGCCACTCAAAAAAATCATCATAAACACAGCTTTAACAATTAACTTTTGTAAATATCTGCAATCAAATCCCTAGCTTTTTATCATTTGACATACTGTATACTATGTCGTATCGATTTCTTATGTATCTCTCTCTTTTCTTTACTTTTCCAGTTCATAGCGGCGTCCGATAAACTTTGGTTTATGTTAGAAATGTACAGTTTTGTAGATTATTTTACAATACCCCCGTCCTTTGTATCAATATATTTAGATCGGACATGGATCGGTAAGCAAGATTTGCGCAAAAAATATTGGCTTAACATAAAATATACTAATAAATTCTAAATTATAAATCAAAAGCAATATGTATTGTATGTATGTAAGTATTTAACGTTTTTCCTTTTCTACTTCATGTTTATGCAACACAACACGCACACGACTGCGCACAACATCTGTAAAATACTTCACTTCAAAACAAAAACAAAAATTAATTAAACAAATATCAACACCCACCCATCAACACTGACATACACACGCGCACGCATGTACGTGTTGGCTGATCGAAATGGCTGCATGCAATGGATTTTACTCCAAAAAAAAATGTATTTGTAAAAAAAACAAAAAACAACTTCAATTGGCGCTTCATAAATGGGTTGTTGCAATGCTTCTTCACACGCACCTCGTCACAGGTCTTCGATTTCTTCGCGCGTTACGTCTCATGACTGTACCGGATATTTTACAATATTTAAACGTTCTAAAAACATCGAGCTCGATACGCTTGGCTCAACTAGTATCAATTTTTATATCTGTATGGTTAACAGCGGCGGGCATAATTCATCTGGTATGTATGGATTGAGGAATAAATAATATTGCTCTTTATTATTGTCGTATTTATGTATGTCTATGTATAAGTCAAAATTTTTTCTGTTTGATAGTAACATTTTTACGCTGGTCCAACAATGGTTTACCATTCTTCGTGCACCTACATTTTTGTGAATATTTTCATCTTCATTATTATTATTATTATGTCTACTTTTAATTTTTATTATTATTAGTACTTTTTGTAACAAATGTATGAATAAATGACCGTCAATCGCTTTGAGCAGCTGCCAATTGTTGCCAGGGAATATTTGTTGTATTTGTGCGGCGGTGGTCGATCCTTCCGGGCCAGACTGTCAGCCGCACTGTTAAAAGCACTGTTCATTGTCTTGGCGGTCATTGAAATGAAGACAATAAAAGAAAAAATTTATAATAAATAGTCCAATAGAATAATTCGCCAAAGCTGTAGTGGTGGGCCGTACGATTTAAGTTTGCTGCAAGCAAATGTGGCAAGTTTCAAAGTGCGCGTGGCTGCCACTACTACAGTTGCACAATTGCACATCTTGGAACATGTATGTATGTGTGTATATAAGTACCCACATACAATGTACATACATACATACATGGTCGTAAATGTAGATAAATCACTTAGCCACTCATAGTCGTCGTGACACGCAAATACATGCAATTTTAATCAGAAATACATACATATGTATATGCAAAATCAATTAGTAAAGTATTCGATTTTAATTAATGGTTAGTTAAATGAAATACCAATTTAGCATTTGTATTTAGTCCTTATAGATGCAATCAAACAAAATGTATTTAATAATATTTTCAAAATTATTTTGAATCACTAACAATTGCCCTCATTGCGGATTGTAACTAAGCTCAGATTTGGTTTGTCACAAAGGGTATGTAAAATGGCCACATCTTTTGAAGAACAAAAAACGATTATTGTGATAGGTACGTACCCTGGTCTTGGTTAATTTTTAATTTTATCTTTATCTTTAATATTTTAGCACTCCATATGTGAGTAGTCTACTTACAAAAAGCGTCATGTGATTATATAATAACACTGCAACAACAACTAACATCCAAATTGAATATCTTTATTACCTGAAAATTTGAATAACCAAGAGCCTAATAATATTATAACATAACATAACATAACACAACATAACATTAACAGTCTATACGACCTAAAACAGTTTGCTAAGCTCGTCAGAAGATAGAGACTTTTGAATGTTTATAAATAAGTATGATAGCTACTTACATAGCGCACTTTGCAAGTGGACTACTCATGTGTGCTACCAAAAAAATTAAAATAATATTGTGATAAGAGTTAAAATTTAAAGTTTTACCATTTGCTTTGAACGAACGTTTTCTGCAGCTACTGCTGGGATCACACCTCCCACACATTTCCCAATGAAAATCTTCTGCAATTTTCTGGGCAATTCCGGGAAGTCTTTTGTAAGACAATTGAAAGACAGTAGGCAAGATAAATCCTTAAAAAGACTTTGTTTATTTTGACACGAAAGTTTTTAAAACAGAAGCTCCCTTGCCAATTTTCATGGTGGAAAGCTCTTTTGAGAGAAGCTGCTCCAGCAGTCGTAATTGCCGAGTGACAAGGCACCACTGTTATATTCGAGTGATTCGGGTTCGAGTTCTCAGCTAGCGAAATGTTTTAATTTTTTCGTGTTTTAATTATTAGATTTTGTTTAAAATTTTTTTTTTTAACTTGCTTTATTTTTTTTTATTTTTTTATTGGTTTATTTTTTAATTTACTTTACTTTTAATTTTTAGACTTCATTGTCTTAAAAAGAAAATTTTTCAAATTTAGTTTCATGAAATTAAACTTATTTCATTTTCATTTCTTCAAATAAAATTTTTAGATTTTATTGTTTTAAGAATAACGGGCCTTTAGGAATTTCATTTAGCTTTTAGAAACAAAGATTTTTTACTTGATTTATTTAGATTTAATTGTTTAATAGAAGGAAACTTTTTTAACTTCAGTTAGTTTTTAGAAACAACGATTTTTTTTAATTATTATTTTTTTTTTGTTTATTAAATTTCTTTTTAATTTTTCCTTTTTTTAATTAAATTCTCCTTCACTTTTTAGATTTCGTTTAAAAAATACTTTTTTTTTAATTTAATTAAATTTTTAAGAACCTAAGTTTTTTTACTTTTTTATTAAGTATTTTTTTAATTTAATTTAATTTTATATTTTAGACTTTATTGTTAAAAAAGATTAATTTCTTTTAATTAGTAGAAACTTATTTCATTTTCTTTTTTTATATATATATTTTTTTAAATTTATTTTTAAGATTATATTGTTTGAAAAAGATTTTTGTTTTCTAATTTCATATAATTTTTAGAGACTTATTTTATTTATTTTACTTTAATTTGCTTTTAATTTGGATCTTGTTTAAAAACTAAACATTTCTTTAATCCCATATATTGCTTAGAAACTTATTTTGTTAAGTTATCTCCTTTTTAATACATTTCCTTTTATTTTTTTAATACATATTTCCTTTTTTTAATTAAATTTTATTTTTATAAAACTTATTGCTAAAAGACAAAACGAGGAAATAGCGCATCTTTCAATTAAGTACACTTTCAATATAGTTGCCAGAATTGACAATAGTCCCTTCAAATGCAAAACAACCTTTAGATTATTAACCGACATGAAATTGGCTTCTACTAGTAACTGCTTAGAAAGTATTGTGTTGTGCAGCTTGATAAGGAGTATTTAAGACTGGTCGTACTATCGAACGTAGTAACTCCAAGTATTTTTGGGTTATTCACAAACGGAATTGGTTCGCCGTCGCCGTGAATGCCAAGCTGTAGTCTGGCCTTCTTCGTACAGGTGGTAAAAGGGTTTGCCGATGATTTCGTAGGGGGAAAGGGGGGGGCGGGGGGGGGCTAGGTTAGGCTGCTTGCAGCGAAGAATTGAGAAGGTTCGGAGTGGTTTCAAGTACGAGTCATCAAGTCCATTCCCGGATGCCATTGTCGAGAAGTCGCCCGCATAAGAGACAGTAGAGACTTCCTCTGAACCATGTCAATATCGCTGTAAGTTGCTCTCGCTCTTAAAAGCTGTGTGACATTTCATTCCTCTTCAAGGCAGCACCAAAACGAGCACTGTTACAATCTGTAATGAGGGCCATAATTGTATTTGCGTTTACAATGTGTCTATGTTATGTTACGTTTTTTTTTTCTTGTATTGCTGCATTTATTTAAAATTTAGCTGGAGAACTCTGGCGATCCGCTGGATTTTAATAATGCTCATCGATTATCCTATTGGACCTGTGTCTATTTCCTAATTGTGACCATGTCAACGGTAGGATATGGTGACGTTTATTGTGAGACTGTATTGGGAAGAACATTCCTTGTGTTCTTTCTACTCGTCGGCTTGGTAAGTTACAATTTACTTAAACACACATATACGTACATACACTGCTTTAAAAAACATTTGACAATTTGAAAAAAAAAAATAAATCAAAAAATTTGAAGGTGAAGCAAAAAAACGAAGAACTAAATAAAATTAAAACCGAAAATTTTTAAATAAAACAAGTTGTGAATCAATTGAGAACGCTTTTTTTTTGAAATATCAGGCTACCAGAGAGCGTTGTGAGTTGAAAGGAAAAATTCAAAAATATACACGCGTATTATTTAAATATTGAAACGAGGTAACAATTTAGCAAAACAAAAACATCACAAATTCACCATAAATCAATAATAATGTAAGAACTTCGCCCCCACCTCTGCTTTCTTCCACAATTGAAGCGTTGCCGCAGTAACAGTACTCATTATATTTATAGTGCATATAGTGGCTTAAAATTCAAGTGAGACCTTAAACGTAAAGCTTTTCTTTAGGTATACCCAATATAAAATGCGCTTGGTAGCAGTGGGCTCTCTTGTTATTGACACAATATTTTTTGGTTAGCATGGCAGCAGCAGAATGTTGAATGGTTTACCCATATCCCATTGAAAACTTCTAAATTACTGTATCCCTTGGAGACAATTGGCCTAGTACTATATAATCTTAAAAACAAAAAAAATATATATATATTTATATGAGAAGACAGAATCCTACAAAATTAAAACAATCGTAGTGGTGTGAATGGAATGGAATTTTTTAAATTGTTCTAGATACAAATTTTGATTAAACTAATAAATTATTTTTCTTTAATAATTAGCTTACAAATGCTTAACCATCAAAATAATGAAAAAATAAAAAAATTTGTTTGTATGTAAAAATTTATTAGTGCCAACAGTTATGATATTTTTTATGATCGTTTTCTTGTTATGGCATATTAACAGTTTAGCTTATAAATATGTATACATCCACACATTCAATAGCGATCACCGATTACCAAAACATATTCCCCTCCCTTTAAGCTTTTATAGTATTTTCAATGCGAGACCCCTCAAAATAAGTACACCAGTTGTGTTATTGTTACTTATCTGACTTTGCCCCCGAGACTTTTGGCGCGAATTTTTAGTGAAATACTGTTTTGGAAATTCTAAATTAGAAACAGCACAAAAAATATTTAATAGAGAAGATGTAAAATTTAACTGTGAAACATATTTAAAATCTTGTGCTGTATTCCCACTGGGCGTTGAAGTGTCAAATCAACAAATTTGTATCATTAAAATACTCTCATGTGGAAATAAACTTAAAATTGTCATTACAATTCTTCTCATTTAATACCCAGTGAAAATCCAGCAACTCCAACACAAAATCCAATGTAATTTAACCAAATTTATGCACAGGTTTAATTTTAATCCATGCTTCGCTGCTCTTCTATTCCACGCTTCGACATATGACGTCGAAATTACACAAATATCCAAAATTTTTAGATTTCACATTATTTTGAAATACTTCTTTTTTTTATTTAGTTTCATTAAATTTTGCTTTGGTAGTGATTAATACTTCTTTAATATATTCGTTGTTCAAAAGCATGCAATTCAGTTTGCTTTCTACTTAAGTAACACAAATTAAAAATATTCCTATTTAGCAAATTTCGTTCATGCACATTTTCAATACAATAAGTTTTTTTTTTTTAATTTTTTTTAAGCAGCCCACAAGAAAACGTATTTAAGTGGTCGTACTCGCAAGCTCGTTTGCTCAAAAAGTATCAAGCGAAATGTTCAAAAATTCGAAATTAAACACATGTTATTTTTATCGATATAATTCCTAGTCCTAGGTTCGAAATATGTATGTATCCCCTGCACCGGAAATATTTTTTATAGTTTTCAAAGTCCCCAAGACAAAACCTACAATTTGCCACTGTGCCCAAACCAATATGTCGCATACGAGGTAGCTGATAATCGGTTAAATAATTACTACATATTATAATCAGTGTATAACCTGTTGTCAATATATTTAAACGTTATTCTTTCCATCTAAATTATGTCCAAAGAGCCTGGCCTCATTTACTCTCCATAGCGGCTTCAGTATTTACTGCATTCTGAGTTTACCAATTGAAAGGTTTAATATTTCAAAGAAAACTGGCGGAAAATACAAACAGTTTCCGGTTCTAGAAAAGCGATCGTGGAACTTTTTGGCACCCAACTCCTTGGCGAGCTCAATCCTTCTCTTCCGTCGGTGCGTGGGTGCAAACGAACAATAGCACTCGGCGACGAAGTCTCTCTCCCACCACAAATCCGACAACAAATTTGCGCTCTCTTACTCGGCGCTTCCCTGCAAAAATCGCGACTACTCCATGCATGCGTGTAAAGAGTACTCCCTAAGGACCAAAGAGTACTCCAAAATTAACCACAATTCATATAAAAAATATGGTCCAATTAACATTGCGATGTCCTAGGGCAGGACCATATACTCCATCCCTGCATTACATCAGAGTAGCACAAAACTACTCCAACATATTAACAATGGGCATTGTTGTTATATTTTTTCGTTTGTACACGCTTTTGTTCTTCACTTCTCAAATGCTTTTTCGAAATTAATAAAAACCAAGACAAAAATTAAAAATTACATGTTGCCTCTGACGGTATTCGAACCCGAACATGCTGGGAGCTAAGAACTAACAGCGAGCATCTCTACACGTTCAGCTACAGCCAGACATGCAAATGTGCTTTCAAATGCTCAACTTCAATCACGTTTCGTTAAAACACGAGCAGTGATCGGATAACAAACAATAAGCTGGCGCAGAGACACGAGTTGGTCCGCTACAGCATGACAGAGGAACACTTTTGTAAGTACTCCAATTTACCACAAATAGAGTACATGGTCCAACGATTTTTGCAGGGTTTGCCTTGGCGGTGATGTTAGCCTTTGTCTTCACGAGGACATCAACTAGTCGGGCAGGTCACCTTTCCCATTAAGGTTACGTACATGCCAGGTCTAATCCTTTAAGTTATAGAACTTTAAAAGTTCGCCGTGATCGTAATCAAATTAAAATGGTCTTATCCGCCGCAACAATTTCCTTTACATTGAACTATGATTTAAGTGAACTTGGAGAATTTTTTATTTTTTTGAGTACCTCGTTTATAGTTATGGCGATACGATGGTGAATTGGCGTTGCTGACTTCAGTCAGCCATTAAACTTAGCATTGTTCCACCGTCTCGCCCTCTTCAAGGCAGGATGGGAAAATGGACTTGTCATGTACGCTTATCACAGTCAGGGGTAAGCGTCACGTGCAGTGACCAGTCAGCAGTCTAACAAGTTTTCTGCAGTCTCGTCTTCTCGGTGAGAGTAAAAGACCTTCTAAAATTGAAGGCAACATAAGATTTGCCCACCTCCAGCCCTTCGATGCCTTCCAATCATTGCTGAGCGAAGTATTCATCCACTTTCTGATAGTGGCTTCGATGGGCGAAGGTAGGTTGCGGACCGATGAATATCTGGTCTGAGCCAACTCGTTATGTTTGCCAACATAATTTAGTCTATACATGCATTGCCGACTAGTTTGGAAGTAGTTAAGTTAATTATGAAAACAGCTTTTCCACGTAAATCCTGTAAAATCCTGCGAAACCTGCAAATCGTACTGCTGCCGGAACGCAACTACTAAATAAATTAGTACTTTTCTCTTCGGCATCGTTTTGACCTTAATCGACTAAATCGCATATTATGCCTAAAATTATGCATTCATGAAATCTTGTTGCTTTTTGAGCAACTGAGCCAAAGTATTACAGCATCATTACAAAATTACTGTAAAAAATACTTAATAGATTTTTATTAAAAACAGGTATTCAAAGGTGTATAGGTTAATATATGCAAACTATTTCCAGTAATCAATACCAAAATATTCAAAATGCTTTTTACTTCGCATAGTAAAAGTACCATTTTCGCGCCGCTAGTTATTACCGCGATTTTAGGACTCAACTTAGTGGAGATACATATCTGTATTTCTCACATATTTTTATACAAAACTACTTAAGCACTAAAAGATACTTTTTTTTCTTTATCGAATACAAACATAAAATAAATCATATGAAATTCTAGGCAATGTTTGCCAGCAGTATACCGGAAATAATAGAGCTCGTCGGTAGTGGCAATAAATACGGCGGCGAACTGAAAAGAGAACATGGAAAGAGGTAGTCTATTTTAAAAATCAATCACAAAAACAATAAAAAAAAAATAACCATTTGCATAAATATATATGTGTTTGTAGTACTAAAACCAAAGTATACATCTAGTAAATATTACATTCCTACATATTACATAAATATATATTTATATTTATATACATTTACATAGTAAATCAGAATAAATAAAAGATGAAAATAATTCAAGAGAAAAAAAAACGCTGACATTACTCTTTTCTGCATAATATAAAAATCCATCATATTTTTTAACACATCTACATACATAAATACATAGACATTTTTAAACTAAAACAAAGTTAGAATAAGTAGAAGTAACAGTACTATTTTTGGTTTATCTGTAGCTTAACGAGCAATTTCTTCCCTTACTTAATGTTCTGAGCTATAAAAGATTGTAACTATATGCCTTTATATGCCTTTATATGTATGTATTTATGCACTTATTTGGGCAGAGGTTTTTCACTAGTACAGGGTTCTCTCTAGCCAAACAATCGATTTTTAGATTGATTCAAATCGACAAAGAAGATCGATGCGAAAAACCGTTTACAAATTAATCGATTTTGCATGATCGAAACATATGGTTCTAGTGGCGAAATTTGCAATACCGGATAAAATTTTTATGAGAAATAGAAATTTTTTTTAAGCTATATCAATTGCAAAACATCAAATTTAAATTGAACTCAAAAATATGGCATTACCATATAATTTTACATTTCGTTGGGAATTATTTGTTCTAACTTAAGTATTGCTAGGTACAGATATTTTCATTGAGTAGCCCAATTTTAAGCGAGATCCCAGAGGGACATTTTCTCATACGGTCATGCGGAAATTTAGGCGCTATCTTCTTCCTCAGTTAATTTGCAAAAATGTGGAGGCCTCAATTTCAATGGCTGGTAAATTACACAAACATGAGACCGGGAATGAGATAGCGGATGCTGAATGGATCGGCAAGGAGATAGTTGTTGAACACCATCTTTGTGAATGCAAACGCTTGCAGTGTGAGGCTAGAAACGTTTGGCCAACTATTACTGCGGAATATTTCAGAGTGCAATCGACTTTCTCTTTATGATAAACTAAAATTCGTCAAAACTGCAAAGTGGCTGTAGATTTTTATGAAAACGAGGCTTCTTTTTCTATATCGTTTAAGTAAAGAAAATATACGAACTTTTGTCCATGGATTTAATAAAGTTTTTGGTCAACCGCAGTTGGGATACACAAATGGTTCACATTTAACTTTTTCTGTTGTCCTGGGTACATTCTTTCCGGTAATTTTTGCTTAAATAAAGTGCAGAGCACGTGCTCCACTGTCCCATTTACACAAAAAGCAGCGCAACTTAGTGTACCCAAGAAAAAAGTTTAGTAATAGGGTTGTCAATGTTACTAAGTAAATTAAACCGTCATCCTTAGAAAAACAATCGACGCAAGTGTGATGGCTATATCTCGTATAAGATCAGTGAGGCGCTCCTGATTTATTAAGTAGTAAAGGCGTTTTGTCATTTTCGTCGGGATAAAAGTCCGAATGAAGTCCATAAGAAGGTTCCAAAGTTGGAGATGAAGATGGTTCCTTGCCTTTGTTAGCTGACGGTTTTTTCAGAAAAGAGAATGGGCTTGTGAAGAGAACTAGCGTCAGAGTATTGTACAGAAATAATAATCGGTAACGTGGTTCGTGGTTTCTCGCCAAACGACTGGCTGGAAAAATTGTACCGTAGAAGTATTTCCATGAGACCAATCAAGCAAATTTGTATAGCGCGTTATACAACAATAGTGCAGTCGCCAATATTTGTCAATATTTTTAATTCCCATTTTGAAAAAATCTCGGTAGCACTTTTTGAAGTATGTATGCCGAAAACGCTTTCTATTATTCTTTGGAGTATATTTTCCGCAAACATTGCAAAATAAATCACGTGAATTAACACACTTACGTGGCATGGTTTCCAAGCTATACCCGATATTTTATGTATCAACACGTAACCTTTTAAAAACATGATTACTGCGGAATTCGAACTTAAAATAATAAAAAGGAATTTGTTGTATTTATGAAAGTTAATATTATCGATATGAATTATTTAGGTGAGCCAGTGGCCCTTATCCAGTGTTTTTACAAGTCGTGTTGTTGCCGCGAAATTATTCTCCACCATTTATTCCAACATGCAAAAATCTTTAATAACTGACTGCAGCTCTTTTATGCCCAGTCGTTAATTTACAAACTTTTATAGCTCTATCGCCTCTCAAAATTATGACAATGGATACAATTTTTTTGACAAAAATAGCACATCAACAATTGTACCAATTTTGACTATTTTTCTTTTGCTTTTTTTAAATTTCCTTAATTTTTTATTAAAGTGCAGCGCCTTATCTAACAAAAATTTATCTATTAAAAAATTGCACAAACTTTTCATCCCGAATTTTTTAGCAACTTCAAACTTGCACTTTATTTTACTAAAATTTAATAAGCTTTAAAACTGCATAACAAAAATTATTCTAGAAATTAAAATTAAAATGCTTGGAATTGGGATGAAAAATTTGTGGAATTTTTATAATTTTTGAAAAAAAAAGTCTGGTATTTGTTAGATAAAGATAAGTGTTGAGGTGCTATCGTTTTGTCGAGGGCTGTACGTACATACATTAAAACACACTGAAAGAGGAGTCTATGTAGTTGCATGTGACACGCGCTTACTAAATTACACTTTAATTTAAAAAAATTAGTATTTTTTATTTTTGCAATTTAAATTTAATTTTAACTGGTTCCTGGTCTCAACAAAAAATATATTTTTTTACACTCTTCCTTTTAACATTGAAACAATTGTCGCATTTAAAGCTGTGTGTGGCGGCAAACACGTTTTTGTGACAAAAACTTTTCTAAAATTTTCTTGCTATTCCCGTATAAAAACAAAAATATTGCTGAAACATTTTTCGAGTCAGAGCTAATTATTTATTCGCTTATATTTAAGATTGCTGTAATGTACAAAGGCAATGCTTTTTTGTAACACTTTTCTAGAAATCAGGGTCAAACGCATTTTTGTTTTGAAATCATTAGTCTGTTACCCTTTTATTTTAGGCGTTTTCATGATCTACTAAAAAATACAATATACTTACATAAATAATTTTTAATACAATTGCACCAACTAAAAATCATAAGCATATAGAATTTATAGTCAATATAAAACAAAGTTACTAAGTTTGCTGCTAACCGCAAAAATACCTGGTATACCACGAGTTATAATATTTATTATAATAGAATTGAAAATTTCAAGTAAACCTATCCCAATTTTATTACACATTTTCCGGATTTTCGTAAAATGGATCATTATTTTCGTGTCGTTTATTTGTCGTTTCAATTTGCATACCTCAGTCATTCTTCTATTAAGCGTTTATACATTTTTTTTTTATAACTGCATTATCACCAACATTTATATTGGAATACAATGTAGTTCGAGTATTCCAAGAATGCAGTATATCTTAAAGACTTTTAATGTAAATTTCGTATCATGTATTTTTCGCGCCAACCAAACCCATATTCACTAAACTTGAACTAAAACTGAAAATATACTACATACATAAGTTAAACCTTCATAAGTAGATACATACATATATCGACTGCTGAGTGGAAGATCGACCTACATATCTCGGCAGCCAGATGGAAAACGGCCTATCTCAAAAAACATTTCGAGAACGCTCTATCCCAGCTGCCGATTCAAAAACGCCCTTTCTCAGCACATTTTCAATACATTCTGAGATACGGTGCTTTTCGAAATAAAATTCATTCAAATTTTGAAGTAGTGCTTTCTTGAAAAGTTTTCTTAAATAGGGTGTTTTCGAACTGGCTGCCGTGATAGGTTAATGTTCCACCATCGTTCAGCCATCGATATATACATTTATGAACGTTCTAAAATCGTTTCCTGGCATCATCACTTGTAATTTGTAGGCTTATTTATTGCGATATTTTTAACTCCCTTACTTACAAGAAATTATAGATTTCAGTTAGCGAATTTGAATACATTAAGAGCGTTATATTAATTCTTTTCAGACGAATGATATTAATAGAAACAAATATGTATTATAAAGCATCCGCATTGTTTTAATATTTAAATTTCGATGTGTAGTCTTATGTTTTCAATTGTTGCTTTAATTAATTTAGTTAAAAATATATGCATAGGTGTAACTCTTATCACCATAGCACTGTTACCGAGTGTACTTTTACTAGTACTATTTAAGCAAAAACGTTGTGGAAATTTATATAGTAAAAAAAATTCTTAAATTACGTTCACGTTGATGTGTCTTATGTCGGTGATGATAATGAAAAAATTAATGAAAATATACCCCTTCTAAAATGGAGGAAAATGATTTTATCAGAAAACGCAAATTTCCAAACTACCAAGTCGGGGATGCTCTATCCTTTAGTCGTATTACCCACTTCCGGTCGAAACTGATCGGAAGTCCATTTTTTTTTTTAATGGGATATACATCCAGATTCAAAGAGGATATACATACAGATTTTGCGCGTGAAAGACATACATATACTTTTCTTAAACTTCAAATTTACATAAAAGTTTAAAAACTTGTAAACTTTTTTATGAGAAGTTTCCGTTTTTACGATAGTGTCTGACACGCTCACATCTGCTGTGCGCATTTCTTCACAACATGGTTATTAATGTTGATTGTCTTCGAGGTCAGGAATGCTCTGCTTCTTTTGTCACAAGTAAAGACGGCTCTCCAACTAAGGGTTTCATTGGAAATTGTTTTTTACTTATTCTGTTTTGAATTTTTATATGTCTCGTGTTCCAAAAAATAAAACTCGTTCTTTTGTGGCCACGTTCTGGACAGCGTTTTTATCTGGAACTTTTTGCTTCTTGTAGGTCTTCAGTACGGCTATTTTTTTAGTTCTACGAACAAAAGGTTCAAAGGTCAATTTCCTTTTAGAAATGCTTGAAACTTTCTTCAGTGTGGACAGAACTTTATTTGCCTTTTGGCGAACACTTTAATCCTTCTGG